TATATATATATTTATGGCACATATACAAAGAGAAACAAATAAATTTAAATATAAAAATATTAATAAATGAAGTTTTTGCATTTATAGAATTTACTTCTGAGTTAATTAAATCTACCTCAGCAATGATTATTAATTCACTTTTCATCAAAATATTTTCTAGGAATGGTATTATCTGAAACAAATTATTTTGATATATGTTGTAAAAGAATCAGTAATTTAATCTTGCAATATAAAAAATTTATAATATATCTTTTGCTTTTAGCACAATTAAAAACCAAGTATAATAAAAATAAAATACGTAAAATATTTATAAGTAGAAAAGTATATATAATAATGATAAACCGTTTCAAATTTTAATATATTCGATATTTGAGCACATAAATTTACCCTATTAAGTACGTCCTCAGAATATATGTGATTGATAATATCAATTAACGCTGCAATCGTATTGAATTGTCTATGAAAAAACAAGTTATAATTATATATATGTATAACAAACTTTCTTTTGATATGTTATTAAAGGGGTATACATTTACGAAGAAAAATATTATTACTTGGGTTTTACATTCATCAAATTCTCTAATATGTGGACAAGCATTGTTTCATTTCTTGCATGTTTCTCAATAATATTGTGAAAATAAAAGATATAATCATTGTGTTGAATTTTTTCTAATGATCTTTCAGCTTTTGTTAGCATTTTATGATTCATAACAAATGAATTTTGTGAACAACTAAGAAATTTTAATATTTTCTTATCAAGTTTTTGTATATATGCTTGCGATACTTCATTCCAAATAGCAATACTTGCTCCAATCAAACCATTACAATATATCTATTCTTTCGATCACAGTAAGATTCTACAATATTAAAAAAAAAAAATCAAAATCTGTTATAAAAATTTAAATTATAATTTGCTGTATCTCGTATTATTATATTATCTATACTATCTTGATTATTTGTACATAAAAAATATAGAAAGAGTACAGTTAAAAAAGTCGTAATTAAATTGTAAAAAAAGTTACTTATTTCTTTCATCATGTTTGAGATATTTATTCAATTTCATCTCGGCGTTCTTGCAATTGGGATGACCGAAAACACATAACCATTTAGCGGCTTCTTGCCGTAAACATTTTGTAAGCTCGTTGTCGATAGGTGTTTTATTGTATGTTATACGCTGAAGAAGTTTATATAAACTTTCTGCTATTTTTTCCTAAAAATTATATATATACATATATATAATATACA